GAAGAGAGTAGAGCGACTAGTATACTTTGGGAAATTCGAAATTTTTTTCGAATATTCGAATATCGAATAATATTCGAAAATCAAAATTCACGAATATTCGACTATCGAATATTACTCGAAAATTGAAAACTTCGAATATTCGACTATCGAATTTTATTCGAAAATCGAAATTTTCGAATATTCGACTATCGAATATTATTCGAAAATGGAAGTTTTCGAATCGAATAATATTCGAATATCGAATACCATTCGATATTCGAATTTCGAATATTATTCGGTTCTCGAATAATATTCGATTTTCGAATATCACTCGATTTTCGAATACTATGCAAATAAATTATGTCAGTGAGACTACCTGTGAGAGACCAAAACATCTCAGAATAAATTGTTTCAGGTATAGACATTTTTTATGTTTCAATTTACAACGAAAAAACGGTTCAGTTGCAGCCGCGGCAAGAAGATGGGTGCCGGATTGTGGCGATGTTAAAGTAGTCCCCCCACCTAAGCGATGACTAATGTTCGGAGCGAAAAAGGGGGCTACCAGGCCTTAAATTTGCCCCGTAAGTGGCCCGGATCTTACGGTAGGCTCGTGAATACGAGATGCATGCAGGGTAGAGACGCAGAGTCGTTGCGGGACCCTGCACTAATGACTGTGTGCGCTATGCGTTCTCTGGCCTTGCAGTTCGAATTCGCTATATGGGCGGCATTTCAGCCGTAAGACGGGCCACTTTGGGAGCAATTTTCAAGCTTACCAGACCCTCTTTTTAGCTCCGAACTTCGTCACCGCTTAGGTAGGGGGTCCGATTTAACATCGCCACAAATTCCCGGACCCATCTTTTGGGACGCTGCCTTTAAGAACCTAAAAGCGTACGTGACGGTTGTGAAGGAATTTCAAAAATTAAAGAAAATTATTTATCCTCATTGAGAGTTGTGGACTGACATGCAGAGGTCCCAACAGTGTGTGAATCTGTGGGCTGACATCGACCTAGACCTACATTATGAAGCGATGTATCGATTGCTTTTCACTGTTGTAAATTACCGTAGGAAAATTGAGGAGGGTTTTGAGATATCAAGAGCCGTTTGCCCAAGAATGAGAAATAAAAAGGCCGATCTTACACTAGGCTTCTAAAACACTCACTATATAAAAAAATTTGCACTCAACCGTAACGCCTTTTGCAACTTATTCCAGGTACACCATAACAGATGTTTTCCAACGCTTTTCAAAAAAGAGAATGCACATTTAAAAGGCTTGAAAGGCCGTGCGTAGTTAAACATATGTAAAATCCTGCTACATAGATTTGAAATCTTTTTTGTTGGGGAAACTCTTTTGGATGTCTCATTTCGCAGTTGCTCTATATGCTAAGTTCATACCGTGATTACAACAAGAAAAACATAGGTAATTTGCTTTCTGCTGTATTTGTAAGCTGAAGCCATCCCTACGGGATGTTACTTAAAGGTTGGCAAAAGACTTCGTGAGAGGTATTAGCGATTAAACAGTTTGTACATACCCTTGGGACACCCCGTATATGTTGTGGATATCGAATTTCCGAATATTCGATGCTTCGAATTTTCGAATAGTCAATTCTTATCGAATTTTCGAATATTCGGTGCTCATCGAATATTCGAATATTCCATGGACATCGAATGTTCGAATTAATGACCATCGAATATTCGACTATCGAATAATATTCGAAAGTTGAGAATTTCGAATATTCGACTTTCGAATAATATTCGAAAATGAAAATTTTCGAATATTCGACTGTCGAATATTATTCGAAATCTCAGATTTTCGAATATTCGAATTTTCGAATCATTCGCATTCGAATGATTTATTCGAATAATCGAATAATCATTCGATTCGGTCCAAAGTATAGCGACTAGTAACTTTGAGATATTGCAGCAGCATTAGAAAATGCATCTTCATAGCCAATTTTCCATGTTAACACGTTTCGGACGGTGCTGCACATTGCAGCACGCTGCTTTGAGGGATCTTTCTGGCATTTACAGGAGGTTTCCTTTTAGTCCAAAGTTGTTAGGTTAAAGATCTAACCTCCTTTTCAGATGACTCTGTAGAGTTGTGCCGCCTATATTTGTTTAGGAGATATGAGCACACGAGCAACAGTTGCAACGAAGTGCGGCGACGCGAACGACGCGTGCGACGTCGCAACTTTCCTTTGCTTCGATATCAAAGAAAAAAACCGTAGTTTCAATATTGATGTGTGCCCTGTACAACATAGATACTTTTGAATACTATTAGAATCTGAGTTCTTGTTCCTATCTTTCAAGAAAGCACAGGAGTCCCTCTCAAGCGACAAAATTCAAACACTTCGAATTCACTCAAAACTTTGGATATGGAGCTTATCTGACATGCTGATTACAAATGTGGCCCACAGGCTGCGAAATAAGGTGCCTTTGTAGGCTAACGGCTGAAAGTACACTCTTTTTCGCCGCGCGCGATTTCGCGGTCCGAAACGTGTTAAGGGCTTTAACGGTTCTCAAAATCCGGCATGTTGTGAGGGCATCCACCTCATGACGATCAGAATGATATATGTTGCAGGGTTTTATTAAAAGGTGGAGATTTACGACCAGAGCCAAATGTCCCGTCGACTCTGCTGCTTCTCCTCTGCTCGTTTGCGCCTTCCCTATCACGTGCTACACACTACCCACGCTTATGAATTTTGAACTAATCTCTACTGAAAAGCTGACAACCCTTTCCGTCTTTGTACACGATGAGATAAAAAGCCAGCAAAACTCATTTTCGGAATCTTTCCAATCTCCCTTCATTTTGGCCTTTTTAAGCGGTTTCTTCGCGAATTTCATAGATCTTGCTCTTGTCTATAACGTAGGCAACGTCACCAAGCTTACGTTTCCTTACATTCAAAGTTTCTGGTCAAAATTTCTGGTAAAACATGCAAAAAGTGAGTTTTTCATAGTGATCTCTCGAATTGAGTACCTAACCATTTCCCCATGCTTGAGGGTATCTTACTTAGAATGATGAGCACAACAATGCAGACTTTGGAGGAAGCATGAAAATTTAGATTGGCCTCAATTTTGACATTAAAAATACAAAACTTTTGACCAGTCTTTTTTTCCTGTTTATCTTCTGCTTGCCAATAGCCAATTCCCCTTAATTGCGCTTGGAAACTGCAAAAAAAATTATCCTCCCCGAGTTTGTGAATCGGCGGTGGTTCTGAAACGAAAGCTTGCGATTAGAAATACCATCGCAAGAATCTACAGCAGCGTTTTACCTGATTTTCAACATATACTGCTTTGCTGTTTAGTTCGTCTTTCTCTGATTTTTAGACAACATTCACTTTTGATGGGCGGCAGGCTATATACAGTCAAATCATTTTATATGTATGCGTGTCACTGCACATATTGTCCACCTTTGGCGTCCTCATCGTGGATTTTAGGAACAGTGAGCCTTTCTGATAAGTTCTTACGATGTTTTCTTCATGCTCTTTCTCCTTTTTAGGCACCAATCTTCACAAAGTGATGTAACTGATTACCATTAGGTGTTCTCTTGCATTTTGAGTGCACCAGGACGGGGACGCCAAAGGTGGACAATGTGTGCAGTGACACACATGATCATACAAAATGCTTCGACTGTAACCAGTGTGGCTCTATGCCTTGACTGCAAGTACGGTGGTGGGTCGGGAGGAAGTGAGGTTTGTTCCTGATAATGATATATGATAAGTCCAGATCAAATACAAAACTGCAAGAAAAAAATCTTTATTGGTGTTCACTCTATAATACGGTAACATGTGAATACGCAAGATTGCAATACATAAGCTGAAAAAAATGGTAGCACAAGCAGGAATATAGCGTTGCAGTGTAATAGGAAGCGACAGAGTACCAGCGCCCCTAACAATCATGATAAGAAAGACCGTTTCCATCCAGCTGTGTTCAAAAAACCCAACATCGCCAAACAATGCTAATTAACGTAGTAGGACACATTTCAACCGCTCATTGAGCGAAGCTATTGGACACAATGCAGAAATAAAAAAAGGATGAACTGGCCGTCGACTGACGGAAAATCTGTAATTAAGTATAACCGGCAATCAAAAAAATTATGGCAGCTTGATGTTCACGTGCAGAACTGTAAAGTACTGCATGTGAACAGCACTGTAAATAACACGAGACTTGCAAATCTTCAAACTTAGAATCTGCTGCCATCAAAGCAATTACTTTACGAGAAATAAGTGATTATTAAAGGCGGATTTCGGATCAATCGCCAAGCAAATTTGGTTTCTCGCCATACTCGGCTTTTCGAGCCCAGATTCTTTCCCCAAATTGTATGGGGTCCTCAGTCATGACAACATGGCCCCAGACCATTTATGGTTCTCATGCATGGGAGCACGGAATTTGGAAATAGCAGTTCCTCCATTGATCATAATTTGAAGGAAACTTTGTAAAAGGTCCTCAGATTACTGGAGCTTTCGATTTATTCAAAAAAGGTTGATTTGGACCCCAGTAAGATACTTATTCAGGCGCAATTTAGTCAAAATTCCTTTGCTCTGTTCGTTTTAGGGATCGGTCATTTGTCGCCTGCGATTTCTGATTGCTACGATTGTTCACAATCTTCCGTAGGTGCATACCCTGCAAGCAAGATTCGGCATGCAGCACAAGCTTACAAAACCTATGCGCCTACGCACTTGAATTTCACACACGGTAGATTTGCGGACATCTGGCAAATTGCCAAATCGCGTATCGCCGCGTGGAAATTTGCGATGTCGATGGTAGTTGCGATTTTGGAGAAAAGCGCGAGGTATATTCGAGGCCTTAGAAACAAATTGACTCAACTATAAGTCCACACGTAGAAGAGGCAAGAACGGACGAAAAGATTACGTCTATTGCGAGGGTTAGCGGATCAATCACATAAATTTTGTACATGTTCAATAAGGATTCGATCTTGAAAAAAACACTACCGTAAGAGCCTTATTCAAAAAACTGTATGATTTAAAAAACCCGTGCTCTCACAAGTAGTCCGCAAAGAAATCCGCCTTAAATTTTTAAAAGACATTTTTTGCTAGCTTACACACAATAAGAGAAGAGAGCATGCAGGACGCTAAAGCTCGACTGAACAGACAAGTGAGGTGAAACATGAAGATATCCGTTCGCAGGGTACCAATGAGGAACACAAAAATGCATACACTGATAATAAACTGTGATCGAACAATCTCTCATAGATTAACTGAGATAGCCTAAGCGTGTGCCATTATTGTTGCTCATCCCAGCACGATAAGTTAAAGTTCACTGCAGTCAAATTACTCAGCGGTACTCTTTGCACTGAATGAGCGGAGATCCATTGACTTGTTCGATAAAGCTGCATTGTTTCCTAGCCATCAATAACAAAAATAGAATAAATAAGGGATAACATGGTTGATAGAGTCGTCGTTCACAAACGATTCTGGCATCCAGGTGTACATCTGAAATAGAAGTTTTCCGTTTTTCGACGATGACGGCATATTCAGAATGATAGAAAAATTTTAGGTTGTAATCAGTGGCTCAGCTCGCGAATTCTCACGCAAATTAGCCTACTTTAGGTAGATCTTTCTTTTTTCTGTTATCTTATCGGAAGCCTATCGACTTATAAAATGGTCAAGAAACAAAGTGCGTAGTATTAGTTGCAGCATGAAACGCTGACTTTAAATCTACTTCCTTATCTGCTAATCGCCTTTGTAGATGAAGTTTCATCAACAGTTTCTACAGTTTCATCAGTTTCATCTCGAGAAAACCAGTGAAGTTTCTAATTGAAAATTGCGAAATTGAGCACTTTATTGCCTTTTTAGCTTCCTACAAACATGGGCTACTTAAAGTAATTGCAGTAAAGCATATTGCGCTCCAATGCCAAACTCTTGTGGGTGAAAAATTGTGGCAGAAAAAAAAACGGCAACAAGACGAAAATGTCTTCATACTCAGGGAAGATTCTTGATCGGGGATTTGTCAGAATAACAAATCCAAAACTTATGTGAACCTACAAGAGTATGTGCTCCATACGATCTCAGATCATATGGTGGCCGTCTGAAACCAACTAATTTCGAAAAATGTGTTACTTCACGAAGTTATGAGATTTTTATTAGGGTGCTGCATAAGTTCTGTCCGATTTGAGTTTTTTGAGTCCAAAATGTAAAAATTCTTTCAATGTCAACTTTTTTTCGAAGACTTTAGTTTCTATGTGTTGAGCAGTTCCTTGGCTATCAGATACATAATGAGATCTGCGAAAATCCTTGTTAAGGAAAAAGCAAGAACTCAAAAACTTCACATTTTCCTTCAAACTTGTCTTTTTGGACATGGCAATGCTCCTTTATGAGAATCGATAGGCATTTTACCTAACAATGGATAGATAGAGAAATTTTCGTAAATTATTTTGCAACATAAAGGAACCCACAGGGTCTTGCCGAGAGGTTTTTTTGACCGACCAAAAAAGAAACCACTTTTTGACCTCGCTTCAACGCAAGTGTGCACGCCTATTTACGAATTACGAAAATTTTACAATTGACGTGAGCGCTGAAAAGGAATTGGTTTTTGTCCAACCGTTCATCTGTTTTCTTTCGATCTGTACGGGTCCTTGCCGTACACCCTCGGAGGGGGGGGGGGGGGGCTGAGAAAAAACGCCCTTGTCCCAAGTCGTCTGTATTACGACAGACTCAATGAAAACGTTGTGAAGTTCCGCTCAGGATATACTATTTTTTCGCCTTGTGTTCAAAGTAGCTAAAAAGTTTTCTCAATACGGTAGTATTTGTATCATTGAGAAGTGTTTTTCTTCCTCTTTTTAATACACACTAGCTGGCATACCCGGCTCCGCCCGGCCCTCCAAAAACTTTGTCAGATCACCATCCCTACTTCTGCACAACCCCTTCCTGTACACACTTCTACATGCAAATCCCTATCCTCGTTTGGTTTTCGTAATTAGCATGCTTACTTACCCACCTAACCCAATTTCCAGCCCCGTAGCTCAAACTTCGCAAAAAGTCGCTAAAATCGTTAAAAGTGATCGATAATCCCAAAAACTAATATGTTCGTAATTAACATGCTCACTTACCCCTCTGTAACAACTCCCAGCCCCATGGCTCAAACTTTGTAAAAAATCGATAAAATCGATATCGATCGAAAACGAAAGACAGCTTACGTCACCCCGCCCCGATGTGTATGTGTGCAAAGTTTGGTCCATATCGGTTCAAACATAAAAATTGCGTACATAAAAAAACGTACACCAGTGGCGCACCGACTGGAACGGTACGCCTCTGCTGCGTACGTATGTGCGTATGGCGCACCCCTTGCCCTCCGAGACTGATCACAAAAGTTTTGAAAGTTATCATCGGCTTTCAGATTCGTGTGGAGGTGGAGTCTTGCCAACTCACTGCGTGGCGGTTTTTGCTAGTGAGAGAGTACGAAAAGCAATGCTATGACGTGGAGGTTTAGTAAGTTTACTTGTGTTATCAGGCAAAGTCTGCAATACACCTCCACACGAATCTGGAAGCCGATCATACTTATATGAGTTATAAAAATGTGCGAGAGACTTGTTCATACTTATAAATAACTAGCTGGCTTACCCGGCTCCGCCGTATGTTCCGAATAGAAAATTCCATTTCTCAACCGATCCGGACCAAACTTGGCACACATACACTTCGGGCCCCGGCGGGTGTCATAGGCTACTTTTCGTCATCGATCGATATCGATTTTATCGATTTTTTGCAAAATTTGAGCTACGGGGCTGGGAGTTGGCACAGGGGGTAATCGAGCATGCTGATCACCCCCGTGGGGGGTGATCAGCCTATGACACCCGCCGGGGCCCGAAGTGTATGTGTGCTAAGTTTGGTCCCGATCGGTTCAGAAATGGAGTTTTCTATTCGGAACATACGTACACACATACAGACAGACAGACATACAGACAAACAGACATTCAGCTTTATATATAAGACAGTGGCGTACCGAGGGAAGGGGGGCGGGGGGGGGGGGCGCCCCCCCCCGAGAATGGGTCGCGAAATTTTTGAAAGCTACTTAAATGTGTTATGAAATGTGCCAGAGGACTCGTTTTTATTTGTAAATAATTAAGATAATTTTTAAAAATTTTAAAAATTCAAATTAGCCTTAAGTGCGTGGCTGACGCCACGCACCTCCATTAGAAAATATTTTTTGTCGCCCCCCCCCCCCCGAGCCGAAATTCTGGGTACGCCACTGATATAAGATTAAAATAATTTTTAAAAATTTTCAAAAATTCAATTTAGCCTTACAGAAAAATTTTTCGGGGGCACGGCTGTCTTCACGCCTTCTTTTTCTGGAATTTCGGGGTTATGGGCCCGGGAAAATTTTGGGAAGCCAGGGACTTTTTTCGGAGTGCGTGGCTGACGCCACACATCTCCATCAAAGAAAGTTTTTGTCGCTCCCCCCCCCCCCCGAACAAAATCATGGGTACGCCACTGATACACATATATGGGCTACATGCCCAGCATCGGTCGTGGGATCCCATGAGAAGAGGGGGCGCACGCGACGCAGGCAGCGAAACTGGTACGCGAGCGCAAGCTTCCCCCTCCCTTCCGGCTCCCCCGTCTCCCATTCCCTACTGTCAAACGCTTATTTGGCAAACTCTTTTTCAGTTGGAAAGGCTTCAATAAAGTGCCCAGAATTCCCACATGCACATATTCTACTACTTTAACTATGCGTAGTCATCCCTTCTTTATGGTTTTATAACAAAGTATTGATGAAGGCACCGCCCACCCAAAGTAGAGGTTGACGAGATTATGATGGCATACTGGCGTGGGCCCTCACACTAGGCAAATCCTCAAGTTGCGTAGCAAAAGTTTGCCTCCGGAGCGAAAAATCCTCCGAAAGAGACGTGATCCGGTGCTGGTCACTGCGCCCAACTGGCCACCCCGCCAACTTTACAGGTTTGCTAGCGAGGCGCCCGGCGTATAACCGCGCCGCAGCTCCGCGATCTGCATTGCACCTTTCTCCAAAATGGGGGTTTTTAGGGGTTTCGAGGATTCTCGACTCTGTATTTGAAATCAGAGCCTGCAGAAGGCCGGGAAGCGATAAAAACATGGAAGTCGAGAATCTGGGTGGACGGTGCCTTTAAAGGCAGTGGATCGGCAGAATGAGACCCATGACAAAACAAGGTCACAGGGTAAGAGCCCCCATATGGAACCTATCGGCCAAAGTCCGATCTTTCTCTGCCACTTCTAACCCCCGAAATTTCAAAGCGAAAGCAGCGCTCATCTCCTCTCCTCTCCGGAAAAGATAATTAGAAGAAAGCTGTTCGAATGGTTAGATGAGCATAATGTTATTCCTCGTGAGCAACACGGATTTCTTCCGGGCTCATCGACAACTACTTTGCTTGTTGACTCTATATTTGACTGGACCACTGCTCTCAACAATGGTCAATCTGTAGATATCATCTATTTTGATTTTTCAAAGGCTTTTGATAAAGTAAATCACAACAAGCTTCTCTTAAAATTGGCAAACTATGGCATAAGAGGTACTCTCCTAGAGTGGCTAGCTTCCTACTTGGAGGATAGGGGCATGACCGTGCGCGTTGGGTGCAAGTATTCTGAGCGATACCGTTGTGGAAGTGGCGTCCCTCAGGGTGGAATTCTATCACCGTTACTTTTCTTGACCTACGTTGCTGAATTACCTGCATATCTGAAAACCCATCCAAGTGTCAAAATACAAATGTTTGCTGACGACATAAAAATTTATTCTTGTTATGATTCCGATCATCAAAGTGAAGCCTTCATGGCACTTTCCTCCTCCATCAGCAAAATGGAAATTTGGTCCAAGGAATGGGACATCCCCCTAAATGCTTCAAAGACTACCGTTATGCACCTTGGGGATTCACCCTGCCGAACCTAATCCTGCGACGGTGTCGGTCTTGAATTTGCTAACCCAATGCGTGATCTTGGTGTCATGATTGACGCCTCCCTTTCATTCAAATCTCATATCGATCTTGTTATCAAAAAGTCTTCCGCAACTCTTTTTACTATTTTTCGTGGCATACATAGCAATGATCCGGAGGTTTTTTTGAGGCTCTACAAAAGCTATGTCTTGCCGCATCTCGAATATGCCTCGCCTATTTGGAGTCCATTTAGTAGAAAAAATCCAAAAAACGTTCACCAGAATATTATTCTATAGATGTTTTCCCAATCCTAATTACCCACAAGCTCTACCCTCCTATCGGTTACGGTTAAATAAACTGAACCTGCAGAGCCTACTGTATAGACGCGTTCTGAATGATCTGACTTTGTGTTTTCGAATTCTGCGCTTAGAAACAAGACTCAAAGCTAGCAAGTTTTGGATATTCAGACCGTGTAGCGAACGATCAGGTAAGTTTGGTCTTTACTATCGCAAATTGGGAAAAAAACGATTTTTGATGACTTTCAACTCTTTCATTTGTCGAACAACCCGATGGTTTTCGGTCCTACCGGAATACATCGTTTCCAGCGAAAACTCCAAAATATTCAAAAGAAGATTACAAAGTATCAATGTGTTACAGCTACTCGATATCTGTGATTTTTAGGTGTTATGAGTACGTGCGCCATCCACCATTGTTCCAACCACCCTCCATGCCTCGCCAAGCCGTTACCTAGTCAAGTCTTCCATACCTGGTCACGTCGCCCACTTTGTCGAGTCGCAATACCTCGTCAGGTCTCTTACTCCTCCCCAATTCGTGGTACCTCGTCAAGTCGCTCATTCTTGGCCAAGTCGTATATACCTCGTCAACTCGTCAAGTCTTCAAGTCGTCAAGTCGCCCACACCTCGCAACCCCTCTATACCTCGTCAAATCTTCAACCCAGTCTACGTAGCAAATGCATTTCGCTTCATTTTTGATAGTCAAAAAACATTGAATCATTTTTCCCAGCCATTTATTTTCGTTTGTTCACTGCCACTAACTTAGACAATCTGCTTCACTAACGATCATATTAGCTTGCCTTGTGCTTGCCTTGTATGCCAGGGTACATGATTCTACCTCTTGTTTTCCTATTACAGTCACACCTAAGCGCCCAGGTTACTTTCGCTTATGCCTTACTTCTATGCCTTACTGGCAAGCCTTAACTGGCACTTCAACTTAGAGTCATGCTATCCTCCAAAACATATACTCATCTGGGGTCTGTCAGCTAGTTTCCGCCCGTAAGCTCGCTGGCACTCAAAAAGGGGTTTTCAGAATAACTTTGGAGGATGCAATACTCTCCAGTCATTCTTTGTTCCTCATGCCATATTTACACTCATCAGGCATTTGAAACAGATTACGCTATATCTTAAAGGGCCTTAGGTTAGTGGATTGCTTATACGTTCATCGTTTATCTCCCTGACGCCATGGACAAGCTGTTGTCATGTTATTGTTTGACGTGTTAGAGTTTTATTTTTTTGTTGTTCTTTGGTGCACCGTGAGTGTAAACTAAAATAAAATAAATAAAATAAATTTAGGTCACGATGACTGAAATTCCTACTTCTCCAGGGTGCTCTAATGGCAATTTGAATTGTAAAGGTGCCTCCTCTCAATCTATTCTAATCGATGATGTTACCAATGGCCGGGTTTAGCTACCCCATGACTGCACTTTATTAGTTTGGGATGTCGATCAAGACCATCTAAGACATGAATCAAAGATATGATGAGTCATCAGCTCGGTACGCCTGCACCGGCACGCAACGACAAACTTGTTGATGTCTTCAGTCGCTGCACGAGGGAGGGAGCTGGGGATATGTTACAGAATTGCACTCGTCATCCTGCGCTTTATTATAGTAGAGATCTGTGGATGGCTCGACTCATCGCTCTTTTGAACTGTTTCTTGTTTGTATGTGTCTTCAAACTTTATTCTTAAGTTAGTTTCGTTTGCGAATGTATTACATGTTTTTTATATTTTAGAGATAATAATGACATCAACACCCTTGCATCCTCTTTTCTGTATTGCTGACATAACAGACAATGTTTGATTTGTGCAGCCGCGATTCACGTGCCCTATGACCACGTGTTCTTTCTAGTAACGAAATCAAAAACTAAAGAGCGGCTTGCAAATGCTATTTGTTGATCTCGAACATATTTTTTTCCGAAATAAACCATACTATATGTGGTAAAGACAAGTACCACGTGTGCATTTGCGAATCTTATTCTTGAAGCGGATGACCATTCTTAGGCTTTACCACCAAACAAAACCATACATTTTTGACTCGAATGCTCATCATGCAATGGGCTTGCCATCCTCTGAATAATCCTACGTAGTTAAGACAAGAACACCGAACGAGTGTTCAGCAAGAGGAAAGAATGCAGAAAGGGAGCGTTCAGATGTCTAAGCAAGAGGTTAGCTTCTGCGCTCGATTGTCATTTCCGCTGCACGCGCGCACGTGCGCTCCTCACTTCGATTTCCTGCGATCCCAAATTTTTTTACAAGACCATTCTTAGGCCTCGGACAGAGTTCACGCGATTTGATCGTCGCGATTCAATCGCCACAAGACAACTGTTACGAGTTCATTGCATGCCGATCAGCTTGCATTTTGGTTGTGATACTTTTCCAGTGCGAATTTTTTTAATGTAAAATGAAAATGAATGGAAATCGCGGCGGAATCGCGACGATCAACTCGCGTGAACTCTGTCCAAGGCCTCAGGTGAGACCAAAGTAATTTATCACCGAAGAAATATGCTCTTTCAAGAGAATCTTCGCAATGCGCCCTCCAAATAAAACTTTTGTATTGGTCACGGAATAACGGTTCACTGAGCTAATATGTGCACTTTCGTGTAAAGACCGTCTCTTTAGCAATTTGTTGTCGACACTGATGCTTCTTATGTATGTTTCAAGGGCAATAAAATTCCATGAATAGAGGTGATCGATGTGTCGAACGTGATATAAAGGAGGAGCTAGCACGCCCATCTACCAAACACACTAAACCGTTCGTAGCACTTCTAACAAGGAAAAGTTCCCAAGTCAATTCGGCCAACTCGGATGAGTCATATATCAACGTAACGGGCTTGGAACGCTGATTTCAAATCTACTTTCTTTTTCTGCGGAACAACTCTCCAAAAAAGTTATGAGCGTTTGAAAGTCCAAATTTGCCGAGTCTTAAATGGCACAAAATTGACAAAAGCTTTTGTAGCAACTGTACTGACTACAAGGACGGAACACAGCCAGTGGAAGTTCCTTAGTTATGGTTTTAGAGCTTTAAACTAATTTTAAGCTACTTCAGACATGATAAATTTAGACTTTCAATAGCTCATAACTTCCTTCGGAAAGTTGTTTTCCGCAGAAAAGAAAAGCAGATTTGGAATCAAAGTTGCAAGCCCGTTACGTTGATATATGACTGATCCGAGTTGGCCAGGCTGACTTGGGAACTTATCCTTGTAAGAACTTTGTGTTGAAAATGGGCCTTACTACAACGAGGTTAAGAGATTTTTTATTCCCTCAAAAGTGTATGGATTTTTTGGTCACATAATCATCGGAATTTCGCTGTCTATTGATGGTGACTGAATATGTCTGCCACTTCTTATAAGAGCGCCATGTCAAAAGACATGTTTAAAAAAACATTGCAAACATCTTGATTTCTCGCTTCCTTTTCAGTGATTTTCCCAGCGCTAACAATCTGTCTGATAGCCGAAAGCTTACCTCAATCCACAAAAATTCAAGTTTATCGAAAAAGTTGATTTTCAGTGAAGACAAATTTGAACATGAAAACGCAAAATGAAAGAAATTGTGCAGTAACCTACGTTTATACTGCTAACTATGTATTCTACAAAACAGAATGTGAAGGTTATGAGATTTTGATAAACCTTAGCCCGAGAAAAGTTAATCTTCATTAAGGACTTCGACAAAATGCGAGTGTTTCACGTAACTCACTCATTCCTATTTCTGCGTCATTTATATACTTTTGACCACTTCAGGTTCCAGCCAAGATAAAAGTTGGGAATTTTGAAAGAAAAGAAACTCACAGGCACCGAATGCCACTTTTCTGTTCTTCCATGTCCTTTCCGCGGTAGGAGAATGTAAGTTCCTCGCCTCAAATATCACTTTGCCATCGTTCATTATGACGAGCAAGAAGTTTTACCTTTGGAAATCATTCGTTTCGTGAAGAAAAGCATGTTGTTAGTCAGCAGATTCCCTCGTGAAAGAAGTGAGACAGCTTTGAGATTTGCTACATCTCCACAGGCATGGTTGAAATACCTTAATAAACAATAAAAGTAAATAATGTCAGCTTAGCAAATTTGAATAACTGAGTAAACCTGCGTAATGCGAATACTGGAGACAGAGGCAACGGGAGGGTGATAAAGGCAGAGAGAAGACAAAATTGAGTAGAATAGGTGTTTTAACTGCCACGTTCAATATTAAATGCGAGCTAGGTTAAATCGCTACACCTCCAGCGCTGCAGGCATTATGGTAAAGAGAATGGGACGAAACCTCGAAAGCTGTGGCTGTATTCGTCAACATGGCCCAAAATCAAAATGTGCAATACCGCTAAAACATACAAAATTTCCGTAAATGTCGGAATTCCGGAAATTTTGCGGAACCACGCGAGCCACGCAAACTACACAGCTCCATAACTTCCTTCGGAATGAATATATTCTAAATCCGAAAGAAGCGCTATGCTCAGCTCAGCAAATCTTTTGATGCACAATTCTTTTAAGAAAAGATAAAGGAGCTGGTGAATTCTGGAAAAATCACATCAAATTCTGCTCACCATAACCCTAAAATATGAAGCTTTCCTGCTAAGCAGATGTGATTTTCGTAATCAGCAGCTCATATAATTCCTATGAATAAGTTTTAGAAGAAGTTTGGGATTTGAATTTTTCTCGATTTGAACTCTGAAGCTCGCCGATGGGTTACACCAAATTACTGATGATCTTGGACTGAAAGAAAACTTCGCTCATAGAGGTTTTCCGACACGCTGTCTACGGAAATCGTTTGTGAAATACAAATTCTTCTGACAGAGATATGGTGAGGGAGGTGTAACCACGGAAGTTCGTAAATTTGTCCGCACTTTTCGCATATGTGTGTGAAAAGCCCGGCTGCCTTTACAGGTTAAATGCCATCAAAACCGTGCTATTGGATGGTGCGTGTTTCAGGCTCCAGTTCACAATAGCCGCAGAGTTATGGGCTTAGAAGTCACGTCCTCAGACTGCTCAAACCGCGAAGATCACATAGTTGTGAGTGATTGTATATCAGCTTTGCAAATCTAGGTTCAATCGGCGCGGATCCCTCAAACCGCCCAGATCCTATTGTATTGGATGTGGTAGTTGTGAGGGCTTCAGCTAATTAGATATCAAAGCAACTTCGTGGCTCAGAGCCCAGGTCTATCTAACAAGGGAATGGTCAGAAGTCGAAGTGGCCAATCCATACAAGCTGCATACCATTAAATGCAGTATTAGATGCTGACTCTAAACCTGTCTTCCTTATCTGCAGAGCGCTTTTGTGGACGAAATTATAAGCCGTTGAAGGCCATTATTTTGCTAAGAAATGTGCACAAAAATGCAAACTTGGCCGTACAAAGCCATTCTTGGTTCAGTGCTGGATCAAAACATGCAACTAGGTCTGTTCATATGACCCGTACCTAGAGGTGAGCTGAAACAACAATAATGTGCCTAATTTCGCAATTTTTGCATACGGTTTTTTCGCAGTAAAGCTGCTCATAACTTCGCCTACAAAGGCGCTCTGCAGATACGGAAGGCAGATTTGAAATCGGCGTTCCATGCTGCATCGAATTGTATGCAGTTTCTTTGGATTGGCCACTTCGACTTCTGACCATTTCCTTGTAACTATCAAACACAATAAGTAGAATCCCATGTGTGAAATGAACAGAAGGTCTGCGGTCAGGGTTTTATACAAGCACACAAGAGGGAATTTCAACGAAGTACGCGATCTTTGCGTTTTGGGGGATATTCATGAGGATGTGACTTCATAAATTCGTAACTCGGCAGCTGTTAAAGATTGGAGGCTGATATATGCACCATTCAATAGCACTGTTCCTAGTAAATTTAACCTGTAAATGCAAGCAGGCAATTTTCTGACAGATACCCGAAAAGTGCGGGCAAAGTTACGAACTTACGTGGCATACTAGCTACAGACTACCATATCTCTGCTAGACCGTGTAATCCGTAAAGATAAAATCTCTATGAGCGAAGATTTCTTTCAATCCAAGATCATCCATTCTTTCAATCCAAGACCAAAAACCATAGGCGGGCTTCAGAGGACAAAACGAGAAAAATCAAATTTCTCATAGAGGTTATATAACCAGCACTACGAAAACTACACCCGACATGATGTCTTTAGTAATCACCAGCTCTTCTATCATTTCTAAAAAAAAGTTTCCGGTTGCTTTATAGCGTTTTGATCTACGGAAACAGTGCTATCGAAAAGTGGCCATTGGACTCTATTAGTGTGACATCCTTGCATTGAACGGAAAGATTAAGATGGTGTGTATCGAAAGATTTGCCTTGATTTGCTGAGCTCAATTTGGATTTAGAATACACTCATTCCGAAGGAAGTTACGGCATTCACGAAAAGTTCCACGTTGGCTGAGCAGTATTGTACTTTGATAGCGCAACCCATGTTCACGACCGCAAGGTATGTTCAAACAATGAAACTTACCTTGAGGTATAAACGAGCCAAAAAACACATTCCGTACTCCCCAGCGTACCTCAAGATTTACCCTAAGGTAAGGCAGATGCACTGACTCAAAGTATGAATTCATGATAGATTTGACAAGGGGCGTGTCCGCACCTCGTCTGGCTTCTCCTCGTCTACCATCTGCTATCGTTTAGGGAAAGTGCACGAATTCATGCTTTTATACGTAGTGATCTAGCATGGAGCAAGGTCAGATTTGTCTTGGATTTGCACCTTAAAGGCAGTGTCCCGGCAGATTCGTGCCGTAGGGGATATCGCTCACCACACTGACCTACGCCCGTCCGGCTAGTTAATGTTTGTCTTGCGCCAAGTAAACAGATCTCGAACCGGCGCGCAATCCCCAATCGGCATGTGCTTGTACGGCTTCGCTTTCCTTCCGGCGTGGGATCCCGCACTGTGCATGCTATCCAAAGCAAAAACTACTAGCGGCGGGGTCTTGACCAGGACCTCCCAACTTTCCATTGAAACTATCGTCCGAGCTGCCTCTTGGAAAATGGGTAAACGCCCCAGAACGATTTTTCACGTTCAAAACTCAGATTCGGGTTCTACATATCGAAGAAACCTAAAACATTCGGAAAGATGGAAACGCAGAATCTGCCGGGACACCGCCTTCAAGAGTGCATTTGCATTGCCTCAAAGTATGTTTTATCTTCAAAAAGCCGCAAATACAAAATTATGGGTTCTTGGGGTTGAATTAGCCCTCAAGATTGTTTTATACTCCTTTCAAATAAGCATACCATATGCGCTATGAGTACGGGTACCCACCCACCCAGGTTAGCGCATAGTTGTAAAGCGGGCCCCATGAGTGTCCGATATGGGTTAGTCCCCCTCAACGTGGCCTCTAAAAGAAGATATGGGACTGTGATACGTATTACGAACCGCTCCTTGAGGACGTGTGCTCACGCATCGATCGATTAAGTAGTGCAACTGCAACCATGCAGTTGCAGCTCCTCTCTTCTGGCGAGCCGAAGGGATGAACAATCCGAAACTCGTCCCCGCTCTGAGAACAGGGTCCCCAGGAATTGAATTTTAGAGGGGTTTGGACAATTTGAACTTTATAATTGTAATCAAAGCCACGGAAAGACCCTAGAATGACAAAAACATGAGACGAAATTTTGCCCGGACGCTGCCTTTAAAGGCACCGTCCACCCAGATTCTCGACTTCCAGGTTTTTGTCGTCACAGGGTCTTCTCATGTCCCTGACTCCAAATATGAAGTCAAGAATCCGCGAAAATCCCGAAAGTCTCCATTCTGGAGAACCACAGGCCGGCTTTTCAGAATGGTCATTGGATGAGCGCGCATAAATGGGCGGGCATGGATGGGGGTCACGTGCATCTTCGCTATTAAGAAGCGATTTTCTCGCTTACGCAGGGCATTTTGGGACGTGACTTGGGCATTGGCTTGATATGAGGCCCTACTGTTATATGTTGCCAAAAGCTCAACACCCTCAACTTAGGGTGGACGGTGCCTTTAGAGGCAGTGTCTCACCAAAATTGAGGTTGCGCGGATCTCCACGTGTTCTACTATAAGGTCCTTCAAATAGACAGACTGCATTTGGCTCCCCCCCCCTAAGCTGAGGAAAATGCACGTAAAGTAGTCCGCACCGACCTATTTGGTTCGCGCGGCCTAGCCAATTTGGCGGTCTCTTCCTATACGTGTTTCAATGACATGTCGCTACCGCGGGACCTCCAGAAAACGATTTTTGAAGGTCTTATGCAACGACCCCAACAGGGTTCGGCACGTTCCAAAGGGCCTGTAGAATGCAAAAATCCTGGCAAACAAATTTTGGTGAGATACTGCTTTCAAGGTAAGTTTTCAGCTCAAGCTTGTTGGTGAATATGACCACTGATTGCGGATATCACATGTGTTCCAATTTGTTTCAAAGCTCTTTAACACTAAAGTTAATCACTGTTGTTGTAGTTAAGAACCGATTGCAAAACGCCTTTTGTAAAATTCTCTCTCTCCAGCTCTCCGTTCACAACCTCACGACTCTAAAAATTATCATTTTCACTCCCACGCCTCACCTTTGGTATATTTATACGATGATCATTTACCTTGTTTCATTTCCCATACGGGATGCGTCAACGACGTACTGTTTTGTGCCTGGTATTTGGTGCTTGAAATGAATTGATACAGAGCACATTCAACTGACTAAAGTCTGACTACTCACGATGTTTGTGAACTGATAACTGGTCGACATTCCTTGCGATATTGCGCTACACAATGGTATTATCTAGAATGAGCATTTGTATGTACAGGGTGTCCCAAAAGTCTTGTGGCCTAGTATTTTTTCTGATAAAAATAGAACGGAATAACATAGGATATAAAATTTGGTGTACATATTATTCAAAAAGTAGCAAATACATCACAGCATTCGAATTTCGTGGTAGCATCTTTCCTTAATAACGGAAGCCTTCAAACTGTTGGCGATTACCACTGCCGAGGCACGCAGGCAGTCATCATCAATTTTAACCCATTTTTCATGAAAATAAATCCTATCGCTCAGAAAATGTGCTGTATGAGAGAGCAAGCTTTCAGCCACATCATACCATGATTAGAAAGATTTGTGAGCTTTAAGGTTAAAATTACGCAAATTTGAATGCAGGCACGTGTAGACCTCATGGTGGGATTTTGGACACATTTGCGGAAAATGAAAACAGAAAATCAGCTACAATGTGTTTCAAGACCAAGTTCGTCATCCATGTTGCGTTAGATTCCCATCTAGTAAACATGCGAAGAGGATATTACTCCAAATTCAGTGACTGCTGCAATTCTACAGATTTGAAACTAATTTCAAAGACATAGTTGCAGTGGCACGCATTGAAATCCAGGTTTTTTTCTCGCCTCTCTTGACGAGATAGATTTTTAAATGCAGTCATTATAGTGAAAGTAGTGCAAAGCCTCCTCTATATTGTGGATATAAATCTGCACCGCGGTGTGCCAAATTTTTGCAGTGGTGGAATAAATTTCAAACTTTTAGGAAACAGCTCTTTGCGTTTTGAGGTAGAAATGGTTTGTTAACTTTATTTTTTTCAGTCAAACATGAAGGTCACTCTTTACCCCCAAAGATGTAGTTTACGAAGAATGATTGGAGGATTCCCTGGTATAAATTTGAAATCAAAATCACCACTGATTGTTGAGAAAGCAGTGCAAAATTCGGCTCAAGATTTTTGGGACACCCTATATTTCGAAAATTTTTCACCACAATATACCTCGCCTGTGTAAACTCCAAGAAATGCTCCCGATGGAATAATTTGCGGAGCAAACACACTCCAACCTTTAGTAGTTGTGTACATTATCACAAGTGGAACTTTGCGGCCCCTCTGGAAAAGGGATGTAGTTTAGCACAAAAAGTATTCGGTCACAGAGAATAAATACCTCAGCAAATCTGCTTGGGCACTCTATAGTGCACGAGCATGTGGGACCACATTCCACCGTCGTTGCCTCGGCAAGTTTGTCCACATCCACTCTACCACTACTTCGCATACGTATCTGATCTCGACCCATCAACTGAAATAAACCTTTTGGGTTTTTCATAGGGACGGCTAGGGCTTAGCATGAAGTGGCTCTAGCATTGTTGAGAAGAAAGTCCCCGCCCGTTGACTTCGCAACACTATTACGACATCCCTGTGCGGCGCTCCTAGAGAAAAACAGCCAGACAGAAAAAAACAGAAAAACGCTTGAAAACGTTGAAAACAGTAATATTTGTAGAATTTATTTTGGCAACATGTGTTTAATATAATTGAGGAAATTCGAAAATTTTCATCGAATGAATGAATATCGAATATGGAAATTTTCGAAAACGAATATCATGTAAATTGTAAATTCGACTCTCGAATAAAATCGCAAAGTCAAGAATATCGAATAGTGAACATCGATTATCGAACATTGGGAGTCGAATGTCAAATGAATATTCGATTTGATGATTTCTCTGGAGCAACCAATCTAAAAGCTGACATACCCGGGCTCAAGCCGACTTATTCATAATCAGCATCCTCACACCCCTTACACCAACTCCCTGCTCCGTAGCTCAAGATTTTCCAAAAATTGGTATAATCGATGAATTAGATTTTCAATCATTATCACCACTCTCACCTATCCCCCCCCCTCCACCGCTGTACCAACTCCACCGTTGTAGCTCAAGATTTTCCAGAAATCGATAAAATTGATTAAGTAAATTTTTACTCATAATCACCCGCCATTTATCTTCCTGTACCAACTCCGAGCCCCTAGATTAAAATTTAATCAACACCGTCTAATTTTTTACTACAACTGCAACGTCTTTCACTCAAAATAAACTCATTCGCAAGAAATCTCTAAAAAATAGAACTGAGGCAATTGTGCAATATAGCAGCTTTCACATGCAAGAATGCCTTCTAATGTGGATCTTTGCGGACCAAAACCATGAGCGGGCTAAAGGAAGAGAAACAGGCCTGTGAACATGTTTCTTAGTACCCTAATTTCCGGGGTATAAGGCGCAGTAGCTTTCACCGCGCGCGGGCTGATGATGATGACGTACGCGATGCGCGGCGCCGCACAAGCAGCCAACAGCAGCCTCTTTCACCCAAAAGTAGCATTTTGCTCCCTTTTTTGCTGTTTACCTCTCAATAATGATTTGTTTCAAAAACTCTACCTTCTTTTTTATTCTTCAAAAATGGAATAAAACAAAAACAGCACTCAAAATATCATTGTAAAGGAAAGCACAGTCTTAGTACCAGTAGCATTATTAGAAACAAAGAAGAGCACAAATGTAGCACCGGAGATTAACCACATCAGTCTTGGTCTTCAGTTTTAGAGAACAATCGTTTAGAAAGCGTTTTCGCGCCATTGTTCGCTGCGGCGGGTGCGCCTTATACAAGGTGCGCCTTATACCCCGGAAATTAGGGTATATGAATATGAACTCGGACCATTAGCTTGAATTCGAAAGCTGTTTGTTTGCTGCCAAAAGCAGTGCAAATTATCTCATTGATCGAAAAAGCAGTCAATTAAAATCCATATCTAATTTTAAACTGTTGCAAAGAGTTGGAGAAATGCGTTTCATACACTTCAAGATGATCATGGTTGCAAAAAGATGCACTATCGAGTTTTGCGAAAAAAAAACGCAGACGAAGCGAGCTCGTTACTCAGCAGTTGGCTCTGCAAAAATTGATTAATTTGGAAACGGATTTTATTCAAAGACGAATTCGAATAAAACATTCCAATAAAATCTATTCGAAACCATGTTTCTTGATTTCGAATTTTATTCGAAACCAAATCTTTAATTACCCTAATTTCCGGGGTATAAGGCGCACCTTGTATAAGGCGCACCCGCCGCAGCGAACAATGGCGCGAAAAAGCACAATACTCAGTGTGCTGTGGTTATCCTTCAATGCGCACAGATCGTGATTTCCGGTACTTTTACTCTTCTCAGAATGTATAATGTAATATCGGTTCTACTGGTGGGATGAAGGTGTTCTGATTTTGTTTGAATGATTCTTTCTCTTGTTTCGAATGATGTTAACGGTGCTACATTTGTGCTTTCCTTCGTTTCCCATAATGCTGGTACTGAAACTGTCTTCCCTGTGAAGAGTGAAAGAAAAGGTGAAGATTTGTTTTGAAACAAATCACTATTGAGAGGAAAACAGCAACGGGGCAAAAAGCTACTGCTGGGTCAAAGAGGTTACTGTTCTGCTTGTGCGGCGCCGCGCATCGCGAACGTCATCATACGTCAGTCCGCGCGCGGTGAAAGCTGCTGCGCCTTATACCCCGGAAATTAGGGTAATCGAGATTCAAATTTTATTCGAAACCCCGTTTTCTCAATTATTCGAGTTTCGAATATTATTCGAGAATGGAAAAGCTCCGAATATCGAATTTTAAATGCGAATACATTCAAATTTTATTCGACTTTCTATTCGTTTCGGACCCAAGTATAGTAGACATCCGAATTTTTTGCATATACGATTGCTTGGCACAATTGAATTCAAAAAACTCCGGATATCGGAGAAGTTAAATCCATTTTTCAAAACAAATCTAATTGCTTTCTCCACTTTTGGTGAGAAAGCTCGACGACGTTACCCACATTATAGACAAAAGCAAGGTTTATCGCATACATGAAAACATCACATGATATTGAAGAATAAGAAAAGATTTTTAAAAACACAACTTTTGCCAGATTTCTCGTTCATATCGAAAAACGGGGTTAGGCGACATTGTCCGCGTGGAAGTAGAATTCAAGAGTTCCAACAAGTTCAGAATAACGGTGTACAGCATCGGCAGTACCGCTTTTGGAAGCTGCGTTTTAAAGGCAGTGGCTCGGCAAATCTCAACCTAGTCAAATTTGCGCCTACCTGGGGTTATTCAATACGCTGATCCCGAAAATCCACTTTTGAAAGCTTGAAAACGGCTAAAATGAGCGTTTTTCAATGCCCTTCCCTTTGGAATTGGACGAATGGAGCAAGGCTGATGACGCCAAATCGTTGCAGGACCCAATAGTTATAGCATTGCGGCGGGCAGCCTCCAATGGTAAGAAGGAAATTGTCAGCTCGTCCGGATGCGTGTTAGATCGCCCTGCGCGTGTAAGTTTGAGAGCAATTTTCTCGGCAGAGAAAGCATGCTGTGCAACCGGGATTGCACTGTTTTCATACTTGGGCGATAAGGAACCTACCGTATTGAAATCCTGAGTTGTTGGATTTTGCCGATCCACTGCCTTTAAACGCAATTTGTGCCGGAAATGCCGCATTTGCTATACAGTCTGCGCCAGTCGGGATCAGGCGGAACCGTTGGCGTAAATTTGCGCTCTCGCAGCGCTAGGCGTTTGAGCTGCATATGCGCGCTGTTGGAGAGAGCGAGGAGATCGAAGAGGGAGCATATAAGCAGGCTGTGGGCGTGACCGCGAAAGCCTATCGACGCGGACTCCCGACATGCCAATTTTGGCCTGATGGGAATTGGGGCAGACTGTAACTTCTTTCAGGTTGCCCCTATCGAGCTCGGTTTTAATATTTGAATCCAGCGCTGTTTGATGCATGTGATAGTATGTTCAAAAATTAAAATATTCACAATTGGCGCAATAAACGCGATGTTGCGTCGTAAATGCCGCATTCGAATAACTTCCCACAAAACTACTATTTTTTGCTTTCCTGTTCATATTTGGATTCAGCACTACTTGCTCTACCCGACGATATATTCGAAATCTGTGCTTTCCAAGCTATCAAGAGATATGTTCGAAGCCTTCGAAATCCAAAATTTTTGGTTTCGGATCTTATTGGTTTCTCGTAGTGACATGATTGGCCAGCCTGGCTCCGGCCTGGCTGGCGTGACTTACCATATCAATTTCTAGCTATAGCTTTAAGATAGCTTTCCCACCAAGAAAAATGCCTATCAAAACACCTCTTTTGAGATGTCAAAAACCCCACCTGCCCAGTGTACCCAGAATTATCGTTCGAGGGGGACGCGGTAAAAGAATTTTTCAAATGAATATGCGAGACGTAAAAATTATTTTAATTATTTATAAGTATAGACAAGCCACTTCCACATTTTTACAACTCATGTGATTTTCAAAAATTTCGCGACCCATTCTCGGAGCCCACGCTTGTCCTAGACTTTCAGACTACATTGGTACTGAACTGAATCAAGGGAAGTGTCTTACTCTGATGCATGGACATGCGGGCGTGCAAACACCGTCCTTGCAGTCACATCCTGCTCCATCTTCTGGATACTGCAAACGCAAAGATCGACCAACAGCTTTCACTTCGCGATAGTTTAGCACAGACAGTGCGCATCTGGTCAAGTACTGAAATGAGCAAATGAGGCGATAACAGCGGAAATGTTGCAATCAAGTTACTTTTTTCACAATTTTCGTTCCTTTTAATTCTGTTTTCTTCAAACCTATATGATTCACGTTATTATGATGATCTTTGTGACACCGTGAAACATACTAACGGATATTTGCTATCATTCCTTTCGACACACCCGGGTTTTGTCCAAAGACCCTGTGACAGTTCTCAAGATGCTCACTAATCCGAAAATCTGTTGTTTTTTTTTGCGTTTTGTACACCAGCAACAACTTACCTTAACGTTGATCAATGCCCGCTCGTCCTTCGTCCAATTCTCTACATAGATAGGCGCCATTCCAAGATCTTCGAGCTCGTCATTTATCGATTGTTCGATAAGGCGAAGTTGCACTCTGTACCAGCTCTGTAAAAAGCATTGAAAAGAGATGTAAATTCGTTAAGACTAGCAAACGACTGATCATCGCATCCGCACTCCTCTTCAGGCGCTTCTCTACATGAGGGACGGTATTTACCAATCCCCAATATCTGGGGATATAGGGCGTTGTAGTTATGGACAGGGATCGAGCAAGAGGTGTGGCCAGGGCCCGGCATGAGATCGTTTCTAGGCCTTTTGAAAACGAACTCCTCCTTGACTTTTGCGAAATTTTACTAAGTCCCCTTTAACTCTCAGCCCTAAACGTTAAAAAAAACCCTCAAAAAACAAGACGTCGACTTACAAAACGTCAATTTTTGGCCACAAAAACGACAACCCCTTTGCTTTTTCGCCCCTAACAAACGTCCAGCTTGTTTCCATACGCGCCGGGCCCTGGGTGTAGCACACAACCACCAGATACGAACCCCTCCCCATTAGCTCTGCCTATCGCTAGGCACAGAGGAGCATAAGATCGTTAATAAGGTCTTTCTACTGTATCAAGTTGGTTTGATTCTTTTTTGTTGTTCTGTGTTACCATAAGGACTTCCCTATGCAATAAATAAATAAACAATTAAATAACGGATGGAGACGGTCAAGAGGAGCGATTTCTCCGGCTGTCACTAAATCAAAACTCCAGTTTAGTGCTATGCGAATCTTCAAAAGTGCCAGATACATTAGCTTACTTTCTGACAAGGGAAGGATACTCGATTGCAGTGACGATTGGATAAGCGGTGTATACCGCGTATACCGTCCCCAGACGGTGATCTCTAAACCGCACTCCATATCTTCTATGATGTCATTTTGGAAGAGCTATAAAGGATTTTTGGTGCTGCACGCGCATTTAAAGGCAGCGTCCAGGCAGATCTGGACCTATGAGCATTTTACGTAGAAATTTCTTTTGGGGCCCTAACTAAGGCAGTGCCCAGACGGCAGCGCAGGTAGTGCTCTAACGGCTGAGATATTTCCCTCGAAAATGGACCCCGTGATCGTATTTCGCATGGATTTATGGCGCAAAGCGTGGATCCTGGCGCGAAACTGCCATGAATGCATGCGAATACGATCGCGGGGTCCAGTTTCGAGAGGAATATCTCAGCCGTTAGAGCACTACCTGCAATGAAATTTGGGCAGTGCTTTAGTTAGGGCCTCAAAAGTACTTTCCACGTAAAATCCCCATAGGTCCAGGTCTGCCTGGACGCTGCCTTTGAGTACTAAACTTGCCTCAACTGCCGTGGTCGACTGGTGCAGTGAATAGTGGCTTGAGCTGCTGCGCTGGACGTCGTGGTTCAATTCCCCTCGAATGCCGCCATTTGCGTTTTTGCAAAATCCTTTATAATTCTTCCAGAATGACGTCATAGCAGGTATGAAGTGCGGTATAGAGATCACCGTCTGGGGACGGTATACGTGGTATACCCCGCTTACCCCATCGTCACTGCGATCGAGTATCCTTCCCTTGTGAGATTACCACTTGGGTTTGGTGGCTTTCGATTGGAGAACAATCGGAATTGTGTTGTCAGTATTGTTTTGCCAACTCGAGGTTTTGGTGAAGCTCTTTATTACATCAGTGGCCTAACGTTTCGACTACTCGTCGTCTTCAGAGGCCTAAAGCGGTGCGGGATTAGCGATATTATGTCTGCCCCACCAAGTGCTTCATCGACCCTTGGATAGTTTCTCGATCCCCCCTCGAGTTTTACAAGCAAAGTTCGTAAGATGGGAAAGACGAACGCACCATTGCTCCACCGCCGGTGCACTTGATGGTATGTGCGACCGCTTCCTTGGTGACAGTAGTGTCAATAAGCCACATTGAGCAGCTCATTGTAGATGTAATCATCGCACTACCTTATCATAGCTCACAGAGTGACAAAAACGGCATGAGGTCATTCGTAACGGCTAAGCACTCGTTTCTGTTGTTCATAAGCGGTTTTCTGCGCGTGATCCAAAATGCTTCGAGAGCTTTCCGAGCAGAGGTATCTTCTTCATAAGCCAATATTGTACACTTGATTTCGTAGTCTTCGCCGCAATGGTACTCATGTCTATGTTTCCCGAGAGGCGAGACTAGATTACCTTTTCGTTTATTGGCGAGATGTTCTCTAACTCTCACGCCAAGTGCCCTTCCGGTTTCTCCTATATAGCTAGCTCCACAAACTAAACATTCTATCTGATATATTACTCCCGTCTTCGCGCAATCACCAATGCTGCTATATGGACAAATAACGCACTCTTTCGAGATACAATATTTGTCATAGAGCCTGTTTCGTACAAGCCGTTTCTTTAAATTATCACTCGGAACATTTACTAAAATGATATCGTCGCTTAGCTGTGCTCGTTTAATACTCTGCCGTATTGCAACACAGATTTCATCCGAGACAAAAGGAAGACAGAGCGCTATTTTGTTGTTATATTGAGCGGTGTTATGTGAGGAATATGGTCTACCACGAGCATGATGCATCAGATAGCCATTGTTCCTCGCGATGCTCAGTGCAACATTTCGCGACTCTTTCTGCTCTTGTTCTCCCGTACACACTTGTGTTGCTGTTTTAAACATATTTCGGATAACGGCATTCTTGACGGCTGATGGATGTGCCGAACGAGCATGTAATAAGATGTTTTTGGAGCTATTCTTACGGTACCATTTAACATTTGTGTTGCAGCCAGACAGTTTGATTTGAACGTTCAAGTACGGAAGCCAACCATCAACCGGCTGTTCGCGCGTGAATCTTATGTACTGCGACTGCTGATTGAGCAATCGGAAACACTCGTCCATTTCGGACTGAGTGGATGTTACAATACAGCAGTCGTCTATGTAGCGACTGTACATAAGTGGAAGTCGTGACAGCACCGGTTGTTCGATCCTGCTCATGAAACATATTGCAAGAACTGGAGCAAGCCGTTGTCCCATTGCAAGTCCTCTTACTTGAGCAAAGTAGGAGCCTGACCATCTAAAGATATTACAATTCAAACATTCTCGGATCAGGACCATGATGTGATGCTTGCTCAATCCAAAGGTTTGAATGCTCGCACTAAATTCATCCATCATTTCGGATACCGCTTGTAAACGTCTTCATTTTGGACGTTAGTATACAGAGATACTACGTCAAATGATTCAGCTATACATCCATTTTCAAATTTACACGATTTTAAGCGGTCGAGGAATTGTTTAGTGTTCGCAAAATGGGAAGGTATTTTGTCCAGTAATTGCCCAACAATCTTATTCAAAAACCAAGATATTCTATCGGTTGGACCCCCAGTACAGCTTATTATAGGTCTTATCTGAAACTGTCTGGCTGCCATCGAGCAAATGTCGTCATCTTTTGAAAGCTTGTGGGTCTTCAAGAGGCTATAGAAAACCGGGCAACTTGGCGTATCGAGCTTGAGTCTGCTAAGAAAGCCCTCGTTGAGGCCAGCTGCTTTTCCTGTGCTCATCCAAATATGATTCAATCTCTTGTACTGCGAATGATATTCCTTTTCGGATACTCGCTGGTACACGCTGTTGTCATTGAGATGAAGCTCAGTGATTTCTCGATCGAGACTCTGAGGTATGACCACAAATTCTCCACCTTTATCACTGACGGAGATGCGCACTTTCTCAGATCTTATCAAATCGCGTACTTCCCTATATCCAAGAGTACTCTGCGTTGATACCACTGCTTGACGACATGGTTTTGGCTGTGTGTAAGCAGTCAAAACGTTTGAGCATAGAATTTAAACTTGACATCTGCCTCCGGTACTGGTAGAGGCTCTCTATAAAAATTGCTTGGAAACGGAATATGGGGAAGTGGCTGCTCAACTCGTACTTCTTGTGCATTTGGATCGCGCTTTTCGTTAATCTTGGCCCTTATTCTCAGTTGATCTCGTACTTTGTGAAGACCAGTAACGACTTTGCGAAATACAGCCTCATTGACGTTTTGAGCAATTGAGAATGATGGACCCAAGCTTAGGAATTTACGCGCATTATCGGAAATCTGAGTGTCGCCGACTACGGTGACTCTTGCCGTATAATCAAGACATTCGTTTTGAGCTATGTCACTTACATTGCGGTTTTGCTCGAGTGCATTGCTTCCACCATTCCTTTGAATTTTACGAGTAGCGCTCAAGAGTTTGTCGTACTTTGCGCGAAGGGAAGACTTGGCGCTAGATCGAACAGATTCACAAATCAATCTCGATCCTTTCTCAATCCTCTTCCAAGTCGGAGTAGCTAGAAGGCGTTGACATGCCTGTTCTTTAGTGTTACATTTCAAAATAAAGGAAAACAGCTTATGTTGCTTTTCTTTTATCACAGTTCCAAGGATGACGCGGTAGATCTTCTTCATTTTCGGATGATCCTCGGGAAGACTGCATACTGCTCCCAACTTCTTATTTGAAATGAACCGGGGCACCATGCACCACCACCATGACTGCTGTATTGTAACATCCACTCAGTCCGAAATGGACGAGTGTTTCCGATTGCTCAATCAGCAGTCGCAGTACATAAGATTCACGCGCGAACAGCCGGTTGATGGTTGGCTTCCGTACTTGAACGTTCAAATCAAACTGTCTGGCTGCAACACAAATGTTAAATGGTACCGTAAGAATAGCTCCAAAAACATCTTATTACATGCTCGTTCGGCACATCCATCAGCCGTCAAGAATGCCGTTATCCGAAATATGTTTAAAACAGCAACACAAGTGTGTACGGGAGAACAAGAGCAGAAAGAGTCGCGAAATGTTGCACTGAGCATCGCGAGGAACAATGGCTATCTGATGCATCATGCTCGTGGTAGACCATATTCCTCACATAACACCGCTCAATATAACAACAAAATAGCGCTCTGTCTTCCTTTTGTCTCGGATGAAATCTGTGTTGCAATACGGCAGAGTATTAAACGAGCACAGCTAAGCGACGATATCATTTTAGTAAATGTTCCGAGTGATAATTTAAAGAAACGGCTTGTACGAAACAGGCTCTATGACAAATATTGTATCTCGAAAGAGTGCGTTATTTGTCCATATAGCAGCATTGGTGATTGCGCGAAGACGGGAGTAATATATCAGATAGAATGTTTAGTTTGTGGAGCTAGCTATATAGGAGAAACCGGAAGGGCACTTGGCGTGAGAGTTAGAGAACATCTCGCCAATAAACGAAAAGGTAATCTAGTCTCGCCTCTCGGGAAACATAGACATGAGTACCATTGCGGCGAAGACTACGAAATCAAGTGTACAATATTGGCTTATGAAGAAGATACCTCTGCTCGGAAAGCTCTCGAAGCATTTTGGATCACGCGCAGAAAACCGCTTATGAACAACAGAAACGAGTGCTTAGCCGTCACGAATGACCTCATGCCGTTTTTGTCACTCTGTGAGCTATGATAAGGTAGTGCGATGATTACATCTACAATGAGCTGCTCAATGTGGCTTATTGACACTACTGTCACCAAGGAAGCGGTCGCACATACCATCAAGTGCACCGGCGGTGGAGCAATGGTGCGTTCGTCTTTCCCATCTTACGAACTTTGCTTGTAAAACTCGAGGGGGGATCGAGAAACTATCCAAGGGTCGATGAAGCACTTGGTGGGGCAGACATAATATCGCTAATCCCGCACCGCTTTAGGCCTCTGAAGACGACGAGTAGTCGAAACGTTAGGCCACTGATGTAATAAAGAGCTTCACCAAAACCTCGAGTTGGCAAAACAATACTGACAACACAATCTCAAGTATGCCGAGGTTTCAGCAAGAGAGGACGAAAAAACAATCGGAATATTTACAAACTTGTTTTTAACAAAATTTTCATAGGTTTTTGATGTTCAAGATTGCTTTTTCAAAATGATTTAAAGGTAGCTAGATTGGGCAACCCATGCAACTATGTAAGAAAAAACACTTACTATGTGCTATTTGGTTCCCATCTGAATAAAAGTTGCATCTCTTGACATACACCCCATAATCATCTACTATAATAATTCGCAGGGCCCCCCATCAAGTGTAAACATGTGGCTATGTACAGCGATGACGTCATTACAAAGGGTGCCACATGTTTACCGTTTTGGGTTTATGAGCACCGGAACGGTCGAAAGCTCACAAAGAATCAAAACAAGAGAGTCGCAAAACAAAATGAGCTCTTATATATAAAGCTGAATGTCTGTTTGTATGTCTGTCTGTATGTATGTACGTATGTTCCAAATAGAATATTCCATTTCTGAACCGATCGGGACCAAACTTGGCACACATACACTTCGGGCCCCGGCGGGTGTCATAGGCTACTTTGTATCGATCGATATCGATTTCATCGATTTTTTGCAAAATTTGAGCTACGGGGCTGGGAGTTGGCACAGGGAGGTAAGTGAGCATGGGGATTCCGAATACAATATTAGTTTTTGAAATCGTGCATTACTTTTATCGATTTTATCGATTTTTTTGCAAAGTTTGAGCTACGGGGCTGGGGTTTGGCACAGGGGGGGTAATCGAGCATGCTGATCACCTCATCTACTATAATAATTCGCAGGGCCCCCCATCAAGTGTAAACATGTGGCTATGTACAGCGATGACGTCACCACAAAGGGTGCCACATGTTTACCGTTTTGGGTTTATGAGCACCAGAACGGTCGAAAGCTCACAAAGAATCAAAACAAGAGAGTCGCAAAACAAAATGAGCAAACTTTGCCTGACAGTTCTTGCATCTGCCAGAATTCGAAACTTCGTTGCTTTTTTGAAATATCGGCTGTTCTGATCTCACTTCAAACATTGCTTCCATATCAATAGGCGTTGTTGGACAAAACCACTGCCACCACTGCTTTTTGAAAGGCCATTTTAAGCTTACCTTCATCTATACGAGGTATTCCTCAAATGTCACCCAAGACTTTTATGCCGATCTGCTCGGTTCATTGAATTTTTACAAAAATCCATTACCATTCTTATGTGATACTGCGCTGTTGAACAGTTTACATCCGATAATCTGCAGTGATCGGTTCTTAGCTAATTTTACCTCGTTCGTGCATAGAGTATAAGTTATTTTTGATCAAGAAATTCGTTTGAGATTACAAATCTTCTTTCGAAAATGTAGTAGTCGTCTGAAAAGTAAGTTGATTTATCATTTTGCACAGAACTAGCCTCAGTTCTTACGGTTAGATATTCAAATGCAATAGTGGTTCAGCTAAGGCTCTAATGTCAATAATAATGAAAAGCTGACTGCCTAAGCAGCTGGGATGAAATCTAAGCTGATATCCGACATTAGTAGAGGATGATTTCCTATTTTGTTGAGAGAGACGACCAGGAACATTGATCAAGAAACCAGCATTATGGACAAATACAACTTTTTTGCACATGATCCTTTTCATCTGCATTTCGTTTGAAATGGCTTTGAGTTTTAATCTAAATACCGAAAAGTTGTATGCGATACGACTTTTGCTAAGAGAGAGGTGAAATTTTGGAGAGGTGGTCATCGCGAAGATTACTTCCCTCTAAAAACTCCAAAAAGAACCTTTAACAGCAATATCATTACAGATGCTGTGTACTTAGCTCTGTCTGGACGAGCGAAAGCCACGTTTTGATGCAAACTTTTGTTTTAAATATTTTGTCAGTTTTTTTCGCCAATGACCCACACATTTTGAGTGCTGCCGCAGAGCTTCACTGATTGCAATAAGAGTGGGTGCGAAAATACAAACCATGGTGGTCAAAGTTTTTCTTCTGATATATTACACGTTCAGATCGTGCTTTCCAAGCGCTATTCACTGAAAAATTAAGAAAAAAAATCATTATGCAGACATGAGCTAAGATCATCACAAAAAAAGATTTTTGAGATCTTTAAAGACATCTGCCACGAGTACTGCGAAAATTCACGTCATGTACCTAGAAGTATGGCAATGTTTTTCGGAACATTGCCATTGCGTACAACTTTAGACAAGGCTTGGAAAGAGTCATTTTGAATGCGCAATAGGAAAAAACTATGGAGTGGAGATATCTTCGAAGGTGTGCGATACGATACGGCTAACAAATCTTAGCTTAGCAATGATAATTTCAGAGCCTCTAATTTTTCTGAAAAAAAAAAACGTTAGCGGAGATTGCCCCTTAGCACAGTACGCGAAGCGGCATTGTCTACACAACTAGAAAAGTGCCACGTACACTTCTAGTGCTTAACTTTATATTTTATTAACTTACACTTGTGGATAATAATATCGTAGCTAGCATGTCGAATTCTGAAGTCTCCAAACATTGAGTCACTCATGTGAAATGGCCACATTCGAAACGGTTTACTTTTTTTTCAGAGGTGTTATTTTCTGTTTTTATGTTAACTATTCTGTTAGCTGCTTCTTTTTAGTAAATACGAAAGACTACTAATTTGCCCACGTCGAAAATCCCACTTTGAGTAACCGCCAAACTAAATACCTAATTATGGCAGCCATGATCCCGTTTAACCCATTTTTTGCTTTCGATGGCTGTGATTTCAGCAACTGTTATTCAGACTACAGAGAACGAATTAGGTTCAAATTACTGTGATGTAAATTGTGAGATTTACGCTATCGAATTATGTTATATTGCTTGCTGAAAGTTCTTTGAAGGTAAGTTAAGGGGGTGTGACACAAACCCTAAAAAGCTGTCGCTGCTACCCCATAGAAAGTCCAAAATCTGAGACTGTACGGTGGCCGTCTGTAAACGGACTAATTTTGGAAAAGGTATTACTTTACAGAAGTTTTCAGAATTTTTTTACATAATTCCTCCGTAGATAATATTCTATGTTCACAGCCCAGATTTGGTGTCATACGCTTTCTCTACGCTGTGAACAAACAAAGACATATTACCACACGATGGAGCACGTCCATCGTATAATAACCTATCTTTTAAGCTTGTGCTTGACTGAGTGGTCGCTTTTTGCCATTACAGAATGTGTTGAAATGTCTTGCATACTGTATGTGCAATTTTCCTCCACTTTGCCAGTATTGCATATTCACTTTTTTCCGGTCCTAAGCTCCGGATCTCGCAAAAGCGATAATATCCCCTTCGCATTTTGTCCCAAAAACGAAGTCCAACATGATGTTCAATCTGTGCCGGACCATGGCTCTCTATTATTTCGAAGCTCTGCCGCGAGACTGTGCAAAAGTAAAATTCTGCTCTTCAGACGTGTAGGATGGTGAAAGCAGTGTGGATATTTGAGCACTGGGCGTGATTGTAGACAATACACATCGGGTTCCCCGGAAAAAGCACTGGTAATTTCAGGATAAGAGAGTTGTAAGGATGTTACAGACTGACCGTGAAATCATGCCGACGGTCAAATGTTGGAAACATTTCATCGAATGCCTGCTTGTCTTTGTGCCGCATATATGCCGCCATTTGCGAAACCAAGCGCTCTCGCGTATCAGCAGCAACCATCTGCAAAAGGAATTTGCAGAGATTTGTAAATAAACAATTCCACTGTGCAATTACGCGATGTTCACCGCCGTCGAAACACTCTGGCGACAAACTCCATTGGTCGTGCCACGGCCAATCTTTCCAGACAACAAGGTATTCCTTTTTCGTTGGATCCTGCAGCGGTGATTATAAAACGAGTTCGCTCACTGATCAACAGTCACCTTTTTGTCAAGTTGAGGCCGAAGAATTGCCGCAACCTCCCAATGCCTCTCTTCTGGATTGTCACTGGATGGTTGTCCCTCTGTAATAGTGGAACACATGTTTATTGACTGTGATATTCGGTGAACAAAGCTGCTGTATCTCGCTCATCCTACATACAACTGACTACACTTATGAGTACCCAACCACACATATACAGGGCTTTTCAACGTAAGAGTCACAGCCTCCGCTTGCGCGGCTCCTCCAACGCGGCCGCCTCGCTCGGACCGCGCGCGGCGTTTGCGGCGTATCGCCCGGGCTTTTGCCAAGCTTCAGTCGACGCGCAGCCAGCGCCACGAACGCTGCGCGGACCTAAGCGTGGCGGCAGAGCGGGGCGGCTGTGACACTCAGGTTGTAAAGCCCTGTACGTGCGTCAGTGGCGGTCCCAGAATTTCCGTCCGGAGGGGGGGGGGGATTTCTCACAAGGGAAGGATGATCGGTCGAAGTAGCCATTTGGAAAGAGCTGTATATTAGGAAACCGTCCTCGGTAAGGCAAACTCAAAACTACTTTCGCTAGGTGCCGAGCGGTTTTGTGGGGGGAGTTATAAGGCCATTTTCCTCCGGCGCAGCCGGCGCACACAGTGATGAGTGAGCCGCTAGAACAACGCAACAGTGTGGCGTTGGCGCAGTGGCAAGGCGGCGGACTACGAGGCAGATGGTCGAGGGTTCGAGCCTTGTTGCTGCTACTTTGCTTTGCAGTTCTGTAATATCGGGTGGCAGTAAACGAAAAATACTCATTTCTAGGCAGTTAGAACAAGCTACTTACTGCAAAAAAAATCACTATTTCTACAATAAGCTATAAACTTCTACAATATGTAAATCTGTGGAGGTCATGATGTCACAACAAGGGATTCAAATGATATAACAAAACAAACATGTATGGAATACATGATACAATATGGAATACATGGTTAACATGTATGGAATACAAGCACAAAATGCTCAAAGCAGAAGAGCTTCCCGCAACGCGCACATCGGATAAAATATAAACGATGACGATCAGCAGCTTCACAATTGCCTATCAAAGTCGGTGAAAAACAGTACTGAATAGGAGACTCGAATTCGCCGGGGTAGTTATCAATGTATCCGGCTGCATGCCATGGGTATGAAAGGAAATTTTTATATTACGGCGAGCAACTGTGTGTAAATGAGCGATAAGATATTAAGGATGGAATCCCTATGATGCAAGGTAAAGTTCGGATAAAAAGCCAATACATGGGATCTGAATCGATTGCAATTTTGCAAGTGCGCGCGCTGCGAGAAGCTCTTCTGCTCTTCTGCTCGCGCATTCTAAAAATCTTGCTTCTGTTCATAAAGCTGACTACAGTCTGCCCCAATCGGGATCAGGCCGAACCGTCGGCGTGGATTTGCGCGCTCGCAGCGCTAGGCGTTTGTGCTGCATATGCGCGCTGGCGGAGAGAGCGAGAAGGTAGAGAGAGGGAGCAGACAAGCAGGCCGTGGGCGTGACCGCGAAACCCTAGCGACGCGGACTCCCGCCAAGCCAATTTTGGCCTGTTTGGATTGGGGCAGACTGCACCACCCAGCTCTTATCTCTTCGATTATTGTGGAATTTTTTACAAAAAGTCGTAAAAATGGCATTTTTCTTTAATTTGTTCTGTTTAAGTGCTTTCGCAGCGAGTTTCTTCCAGCTTGGGCGATTGTTGTTCAGAACAATAAGCGCAGCAATCCAGACAACGTCACAGGAAACAGGAACGTCAATGCGAGGGAAAAATTTGAAGGACGCATCAAAGATAAATTTGGCTCCGACGTTCTTTTCGACTTGGTAAAAAAACTTTGCGTTTTCATAACTAATTTCTTTTTTATTTATCTTCTTCTTGACAACCACTAACTGCAAAATATGGTTTCTTGAAACGATCACAAAAAAGAAATTAGCTCTTCTTCGCTTTCCCCCGTGTTGCGAATTGCTGGTCCTGTAGCGAAAACCTGCACTTTGAAAAGCCGCCAAATAAAAGATCTCAAACCTAATTGCAGCGTTTTTATCCGGTTTCCACCAGTTTCTTTTGTTTCTTTTGCTTTTTATATATGTTTACGTCATTTTCTCTTCTCTGATCTTCTTTAAACAATCTTCACTTTTTATAAGGTCAGATGATTAAACAACCTTCACTTTTAACCCTGTCTCTAGACTATCAAAGGTATGCGAGTGATATCTATTTGTGCAAAACATTATTAAATGTAATGATGCACACCAATTATTGAATTAGTCCGCCTGAAAGAAAATCCGGTCATAATGCTTGTTTAGAATTCTCGCCATAATGAAATGTTTTAGCTACAAATAGGATTTTGAAACTTACGTTTCTGATAAAAGAGATGATTGTGTTGGTCATTTCAGCAATAATAATGATATTTCTTGATAAGTTGACTTCTTTTTGAACTAAACTTGACAGTGTACAAGAATATTTAAATAGTAACAGATGTAAGTAAAGCAAAGTGAAACACTTTTCCAAGCATTTTCAAACAAGTTCCTCATACTTGCAATGAAATCACTTTGAACAAACCTATTAGGAAAAAAACTGAAATACATTGCAAAATAGCTTGCGAATTAATTTATAACGAAAATGATTCTGAAAGCTAATTTTCAATTTGATTGGAATTTTGAAATTCACTGTATATCCAAATTACAAGAAGAAGCATGAACGATATATAGAGAGTTTTCCAATAGCTGCAACGGATTCCTAGGCTAATTAGCAAGAGGACGGAGCAATCAGCGCACCGCCTACGGTACCCAGCTGGCGGCTGGCACATGTTATCGTTCATAAAGTCTGGCTTACCCGGCTCCCCCGGCCCTGTCAAAACACTACGATAAAGGTCCCAACCCTATTCCTGTACAACCTTTCCCTGTGCCCATCTTCTACATGCCAACTTCCTATTTCTGCTATGTCAGTAAGTAATCTGCATGACCACTTACCCCCTTGTGCCAACTCTCAGGCACGTAGTCAAACTTTACAAAAAATCGATAAAAGAGAAAAAATAATTCTAAAAAAAAACTAGAATCGTATTCGTAATCGGCATGCTCGATTACCGCCCTGTGCCAACTCCCAGCCTCGTAGACTCAAACTTTGCAAAAAAATCGATAAATTCGATACGACCGATGACAAAAAGTAGCCTATGATACCCACTCCGCCCCGAAGTGTATGTGTGCGAAGTTTGATCCGGATCGATATAGAGATGATATTTTCTATTCGGAACATACTACATACAGACATAGAGACAAACAGACATTCAGCTTTATATAAGAATTTGGGAGTAGACATTTTCTGATCTATGATTACTGAATAAGATCTATGGGCAATCATTGAGGTGATGACCTTTATGAATAAGACGAAGTAGCCCACCGCACTCGCCTCTCCCCTCCCCCTCCCCCCCCTAAATGTATGTGCGCAGAGGTTTCGTAGCCGTCCCATTTTTATCCATGAATTGCGACACAAAGACAGACATTGAGCCATGTATAAGGGGGACGTAATTAGACTCACTAAACATACCATCCTCGGAGCATTCATCATTTTCGACTTGGCTTTTTTTCTTCGGCATTGGAGCCCACACTGGAGCAGAGGATAGCCCTGAATTATGTGATATCGAATTTCAGCGTTCTGATAACCAAGTCGCCACTTACTGTCAATTTGGCCCGCTGACAGTCCGATTGCGCTAAGCAATTCCTTAAACAAAGCTGTGCTTTAGCTCTCAATAAATGGTTTCTCACTAAGAGGTGAAATTTAAGTATAAGCTTACTTTTTGCAGAACATCATCATGATCGCCGGATGCACATTCGTTCGCTTCTGCCGTTCCAGATTCAGAGGCAGATGCAGACATTGTGGCTATGGCTATATAGTGTACATATTTTCAGCCTTACTTTCAAAACAGGCCCGTCCATAAGGTCATACAGAATCAACAAAAGACTTACATTCAGTTTGAGATTTGCTAGTGATATCACTGTCTATCGTAGTGTTCTCCTTATCATCATCATCATCATCATTTGCTTCAAGTTCCTGCAAATGAAGTACTATAATTTTATTTCTAGACCCGCTATTGGATCACTCAGGGTCTGGCACAGGTCTTTCTAGTTGTCAACGGCGCGTTTCACTTTTCAAAGCCAGTCATTTTTCGAAAAATTGCTGCTTTCATCCCCGGCACAATCACGCTATTTTTATCTCGCTAGAAACTTAAAACAGAACACAAAATGGGATGACTTGAAGGATTGCAATAGTTGCTGTAGAAAAGAGCAGGCTTAGAGTTCTTAGTTGAGCTCAATGTCCGTTTGTGTCTTTCGTTGTGTATACATGTTAGAGGCTCTGAATGGAAAATTCCAGTGACCGATCAACAAATTCCGCACGCATCACTTCAGGGAGAAGGGACGGGAGGGGGGGGGGGAAGTTCCCAGCATATTTTGGGCTACACTGAGGTCGGCAGGGGAGAGAGAATTAGCACATTAATACAATACGAATTTACACGAATATTCGAATACTCACTGATTTTATTTAGTTTTGCACAGCCCTACTTGCCACTTTTTATCCCTAAGCACACATGGGTACTATATTTTGGACCAAATCGAATAAATATTCGAGTATTCGAATTACTCGAAAATCTATTCGAAATTCGATTATTCGAAAATTTCAAGATTTTAAATGTATCCGGTACTTGCTTATTCGAAATTTTTGATTTTTGGATATATTCGAACATTCGAATATCTACTTTCAATAGTTATTCATTTATTCGACATTTTCGTGTAATTAAATAACTACGTAATAGCGTCACATTTTTGACTGCTATATCAGCAAGTATCGTTTGTTGTTCAAGTAGCTTTCACTATATGGAGTCCTTTATTGTGCTAATTCAAAAAAATTTGTTCGAATATTCGACATAGTCGATGCAAAGTATTCGTTTACACAAATTTTTTCTCGAATATATTCGAGTATTTGAAATTTATCATTTCGAAAATATTTAATTATTCGACAACTTTCAAATTTCAAAAATATTCGATATTCGGTATTCGACATTCTTTGTTTTCAAAAATATGCGAAACTCGATTATTCGTTTTGATTTTACATCATATTCGATATTCAATTATTCGAAAAATTTTGACTATTTCAAAGTATAATCGGTGCACAGAGGCAGCTGAACCGTGACTGATTACGTCAAATATAGGAGGTTTGTTACACCCGGGACCGAATCGAATAAACCGATTATACAAATAAAAATCATGAATCCGTCATAAGTTTTAATAACGGGCCAAGGGTTGTTTACGTTTGCGTGTGTGTGTATGAATCTCCGTCTGTCACGAAATTCATGGAGCGAGTTACATCCAAGCTCTTCAGCTGATTTTTCACACAAGGTATGCCCCCAACATGCAAGTTCACTACGCACAACGGCGAGTCGATCCCTTAGACGGATGCCTCATAAATTGGGCGTCACATGGGTCCACCTGTTTTTGAACCACAATACTGGATCGGTGTCCAGATTTTGCTAAGTTGTGGATTTGTTTGCAAAGCAGATGTGCAAGCCATGAATTTTAGCTCAAAAGTGATGAAAAAATCTATTCTTTTGCGAAAACGGCGCCAAAGAGGAATTTGCGCTCATCGTCGATTTGCCAAGGTTTTAGGAAGAACTAGACAGGATTTTTGCTCATATTGTTTAGTGCATTTATAGCAGCTGTAAAGCCCCAATGAATGCAGAAAATGATCTATATTTGCTTTTGGTCCTTCGCAAAAAATTTTTGCTTCTAATGTTACCAATTTCAGTGCGAAAGCTTTTTTTATGAGTAGTTGTTTACGCACTCTCGGATGAGCAATGCTCGGTGAGCTCCATAGCCCAAATCATGCGAGCATGGGGAGGTAAGGGGAAACCAGTGCGACTTCTGCGAAGCAGAGGTGACGACTGGTTTCTCAATAATTTGAAATTCGCACATACTTGACATCGTTGTCATTTTCGAATATGATCAATTATTCGCTTTATTCCAAGATTTAAATATTCAAAAATTTGAATAACTGTATTCTACTTACACAAATTTTAATAGTTTCGTTAATCCAAATAGCTATATAACTTCAGTATTTTTAACATTCAAAAGCACTAAATGCGCACAAATACTCAAAAAAGATACCAAGCTGCTCAAGCTCGAAGCTGAGGAGCTGAGAAATGCATACAAGCTCGAGCGAGCATCCGAAGCACTGAGCAAAGGTAGAAACTGGTGTAGGCGTGATGAAGCATTGCCTTCAATGATTCTGTACTCTTTACGATGCGAATGCGTACAAAAACTTTTTAGAGTGGAACAAAATTGTGGTTTCCATTGTAATGTGTGGACCGAGCAGAACCGAGTCTGCCAATCACTTTGAAAATATGCACCACATTTTGAACTGCTATATAGCACATTTCACTTTTCTATCCATACTACATGTTCAATGGATATTCAACATAGTCGGGATGGGATATTCAATCAGTTGAAGTCTCTGGTTGTTGAAATTGCTCGACATCAGATTTTTTTCATTTCGAAACTTCAGTGCTCGATCAGTAATTATTTCTATTGTAAATATTCAATATCCGATTACTCGGCATTTTTGATTGCATAATCGATTTTTAAGAAGAAAAAAACTCGAGTATCTGAAGCATAGTTTATGTCAAGCTCTGACTCAACCACGGTTTCGTCAAAGAAAATGAGATTGCTTTTGAAATTTATGGAAATTCTGAAACATAAAGGCTACTGCATGACAAGGCGCAGAAGCAGTACTAGTTGAATAGGCGCGAACGCGGCGCGGGTCATCTTCACCATGAAAATCCTGCACGTCACTCGCTCTGCGGCCAATTAAACGTTCTTGCCCAAAGATATCGCGCCTTCGTCGTGCAGCAGCCTATGTTTCTCAAATAAGGAAATGATACTCGAAGTCCGTAGCATTCTGAGACGAGATTTATACCATTCATTTGTCTTGGAACGCTGATTCCGAATCTGACTAGCGTTTCTGCTAATCGTTTCTCTAAGAGAAGTTACGAAGGATTTTCGCGCCAAGTTTAGCTGCCCAAGTGGAATACCACTGGAACACTGATATAGCCGGTACGCTGTGATGTAGTGGTTAGTGTGATAGTCTCACAAGTGTGCAGGTGTAGGTTCAGATACTTTTGTATTCTTCAACTCTGCACTGCCTCAATTTAGCTCATTTTGTTCAGGCATCCTCGACGTAAATGCATTTTTTTCCTCTTTGAAAATTCAACGAGACATTTCTTTATCTCCTACATTTTGAATGCAAATCAAACACAGTAATGGAAATCTATGACAAAGTGATTAAAACACAGGAGTTGCTCGCAGTGAGCGTGATAAAGGAAGTCGTTGCAGTTGGCTTTCTTGCACTACTCAGCAATTCACGCAAAAAGGAGTATTGTACTGGAGTTTGGAACTAGCGATTATAGATCTATGCATAGCTCATTGGAGAATGCAAAACTAAAAAAACAAGAATTCGAATCTACAACTGCATCAATTTGTGAGGCTATCACCTTGAAGGCAGCGTCCTGGCAGATCTTACATTTCCATCTTTTTGCATGTTTTGAGCCTACTCGATCCTTAGATCCCGAATCTGAGCTTCAAAAGGGGTGAAAAGGCCTTTTTCGGGGCGTTTTTTCAATTTCCAAAAGGCAGCTCGGACAAGAATTTTCAAAGGAAAGTGGGAGGCCCTGGCACGAAGAACCTGCTGCCTGTAATTTTGGCTTCGTACAGCATGCACAATGCGGGAAAGCGGTTGGGGGTCCCGCGCCGTCTAGCGGAGAGCACTCGTCCGAACAAGGTGTTAGGGGAGCGAAAGGAGGAAGGGCAGCGGCGCTTGGGCCGCCCCCCTGGATTGCAGAGTTCACATTTTCGGCGCGGAGTTGCTGTTTTGGTTCACTTGGAGGGCCTCCTATCCATCTGTGTCAAAATCTGAGGTAGGTCAATCTGCCGAGCCGCTGCCTTCAATCACTAGGCTCCCGCCACAGTGCCGAAGCCATGCCAGCGCCGAGCCAGCGTTTCGATCGATACACGTGTATTTCGTTGGGGCGGGACTAGCTGACCTAGTTCTCAGCAGGTAGATGTCCCGAACGAAATACACGTGTATCGATCGAAACGCTGGCTCGGCGCTGGCGTAGCGCTGGCATGGCTTCGGCACTCTGGCGGGAGCCTAAACCACAGCGTACCGGGATACTGGTATTTTCATAACGCGGCCGAACTTTGCGCGAAAATCCTTCATAACTTCTTTGAGAGAAATGATTAGCATAAGCGAAAGTTAAAGGCAACGTCCGAGCAAATACGAAAATGTAGAATACGGGGGCGCCCGTCCTGGTAAGGCTCTTGCCACAGGTGCGATAGTGTGAGAATTTTCTCACCCCCTCTTCACCCCTGAGCTGGGACCAAGGTGACCCCCTTCACCAAAAGCTGAGAAAAAATCAACAGTGTCGTAAAATTAAGCAAAGGAACTAATTGTACGTGAATTGTTTATGTACAGGAATGGAGGAGTCTGTTGAAAAAAGTGCTTGGTAACGGGTGTGAGTAGTGATTTCTGGACATTTTGGAGTTTTTAACATAAAAAAATTCATAAATTCTGTAGATGAACATCTATTACGGCGAGATGGTCACCACTGGAACCGTCTCGTCCTCCGCTTTCAGAAAGCTTATAGCATATCTGAGATCCGTTCAAGAAAGTGCGGTGAAGGGTGTGCCAACTGATTTTGGGGAATTTTCGAGTTCTTAACGTAAAAAATTAATAAATTTCGTAGATGAACATCTTGTACATCGAGATGGTTACCACTGGAACCATCTCATTCTCCGCTTTCAGAAAATATATACTTTGCCTAGAGTCGATTGAAAAAAGTGCCTGGGTGAAGGGTGTCCTAGTGATTTTTGGAGATTTTCGAGTTTTTAATATAAAAAAAAAATTATAACTTTTGTAGATGAACATCTTTTACGCCATGATGGTCACCGCTGGAACCACCCGTTCTCCGCTTTCAGAAAATATATACCTTGTCTAGGGTACTG